AACTGTTCTCAATCTTCCTTTGAGTCATTCTTTTCTCATTTAAAAATCTTGCCTTCAACAGTCCACAATAAGAGGTGCATAGCAAATGGACTAAGGGGCAGGGGAAGGGAGGAAACTGTACAACAATGAAAAAAATCTTTTTAAAGAGAAAAGCAAACTGGGGGGGAGGAAGGATAATATGCATCAATGAATGAATGAAAATCCAAGGTTTCTACAAACTTTCATTAAATAAATAAAAATAAAATATTGAGGAAAGAAAAAATGGAAATTTTATTAATATTCACGTTTTGGGAATTAGATTGATGTTGACCCCTAATTATCAATGGTTAAATAAGGAGTCTTCTAAAATTCTTATTTTAGAAAAAAAATCAATTAAAAAAAAAAGAGAGGAGAAGGAAGTTGGGGAAAAACCTGCCTTGGTACATTGTATATCTTTTCCATTTATTTTTCAATTCTAGAGGAGCAGTAGGAAATAAGGTTATCAAATAAAAGTTAAGGTAACCAAGTGAAAAAAGGGAGAGGAGGAAACTGACAAGAACGTTAGCTGCTTAAAGCCAATGACCATTCCGTTTGATTTCCCAAGTTAGAAAATTGTGAACATAAATACCATAGCAAGCAAGAACACAATATTTAGACAAATACCAAAAGCCACATTGTCATAGATAGGGGAAAAGAGAGCAACAATAATTAACACAGCACAAATATATTTTTACCTTAATTTTCCCATTTTACAGCTCAGAAAAAAGGCAGCAATGTAGAACTGCTTTTCCTTCCCCCACATTTCTATAGCAAAGTGTAAATATCTTCCTCAACTATCATAGTGAGCAGTTCTAAAGAGTGTTTGTAATGTCTAGCGTCTATCCTTGAAAGTGTTCAACTCACTTAAAAACCTCTAAAAAAAGGATTCCTTCTCCCTTCTTCAGTTTTTTTCCCCCATCATAGAATGGCAAAAGGACAAGGGGATTAACAATTAGTAGAACTCTCAACTTTTACATATTTTCCTTAATATTTAAGAAAGAAAAGATAGCACACATTTAAGTGAAAAGTTAACTTTTCAAATATGTGTTCTTCTATGCACTACCACAGACCTCCAAATTCAGTGCAATTGCTCAATGACTCTTCTGAGAGCTATACTAGAAGGAAAACAGAATACATTCTACTCTTCCTTACAGAAAAATGAAAACGATTTCACAGACATCCCTAGAGTATTCATTTCTCTGTAAATAATAAAAATGTTTCTAAAAAATCTCCTGTAATTGACAATCATATTTAAGGATGAGAAGAAGTGAAATTTGCCTAAACTCCACCCTGAAACACATTGACTGTTGAGTAGCTACAATTCAGCAAGCATCCTAGAATCGGAGCCCCCGAAGTTGTAAACAAAATATAGAGCACTCTTTTGTTCATGACATGTCATGAACAAATTACCAAAATGTGTTTTCTCCTCAGGTGTCAGTTTTTCCCTCTTTTAGTGACTGATGGCTCCCAGTGTTATTACAGAAACAGATTGATCTTTTTAATGAGCCAGTTTAATAGACTCCAAAATCTCACCGTGGCTGCTCATCCATGTCAGACCATATGCACCAACAAAACATTCAGTAAAACAAAAAAGCTCTGCTGTCAGACAGCTCCATACTCTATAAAATTTCATAGAGTAGATGTGGATATACAGATAAATAATGAGAAGTGGAAGATGCATATGCAAGCAAGATGCAGAAAAGAAATACTGTAGAGGACCATATTTTCTTGGCTCTGATCAAATTCCCATAAGATATAAATGTATTTACACAACATATTCTCATTAGCCATCCTCCTAACTCCAAGGAAACTCATTTGCCATCTTCCCATTATAACATAAACTTCAGGGTTCCACTTGAAAAAGAATGATCCATCTTAAGATCAGCTGCTTGAATTTTGACTCTACCAACTGTCTCCAGGAACCAAAGAAAAAAGAAGTCTGAAATTGTTTTATTTCATTGTTTCCTGAAAGTATAAATGCAATGTACATACAACTACAGACCATCAAACCAAGAATGCTGACCATCTGTGGAATTTAATATTTCCATATCATTATGTTAGCATACTGGTCCAGGTTTACCTAAGGATTACACAAGGAAAGTTGAAAGTCATGGCACATTCAAACACAAAATACAAATACAAAAGCCTGGAGTGGGAAGAAGAAAGGGAGAGGAGGATAATGGCTGATTAGAGAAATGAATAAAACAAGCTTTCCCACTGCCTATTCCCAGTCAGTTAGTAGTCATTTTTATTTGTGGGATTATCTTTACATTTATCACAATTACATAAGCTTTTTTCTGTGACCAATCCTCTCCTCCCGAACTCTAAATAAATGCTAATTCCTCATCAGTTATCCCAGAAACCTGGAAATGAAACATAACAATGCTTGCCCCTAATACTCATTTTGCACAGATAAATGGCTGAAGATCAGGCAAGAATGTGCACTATTTTTGGCTACTGTTTGGTTACGGGCATCAAGTTACCAGGAAACTCAGACACCAAGACAAAGCAGTTCTCTTTAAATGTTAAAGTTCTAAAGCCTTATTCACTCTTAAAATGACCAAGAAAGTATCTGCAGGAATGGAAAGTAACACAACTGGTTGGTTACATATAGAGGAAGGTCTACCATATGTCACAGTTAGACTAGAGTTTAACCTTTGTTTTAGTAATACAAAACGATCATGAGAAGCATCTCTGTCAAAAGGGGAAAAAAATTCTAGAGATTATCATATAAAAACTGCTTTACTGAAGATTATGTTATAATTTTACATGTAAACTGGTTGGCTTTAATAACATTCTGATTAGCAAAGCAGCTAATACACTTAAGGGTAGCTAAGTCAGGCACAGAAAGATATCTCTGAGCAGCTCTAAGACTCTTAAATTCCTATGAACTTGGGACATACATGAGTTGCACAGTCAGATTCACAAGGCTGTGAAATCAAAGTCACATGAAATGCAGGAGGAGAATGGGAGAGGTGAGTATATAATAGGTTAGTGTTTTGGTATGGTTTCATCTTAAGTTCTCCAGAGTTTACAAAAATTATGTAGCATGCTATAAGATGATTTTGCTTGTCCAGATTACAAAGTACTAATATATATGATGCTGACATGTTTATTAAAATGATTTTAAGTGGAAACGCAGGATGTTTCACATGGAGGATTTCATCCCAAATTACCTCATATAGTTTAATCATAGAATTTGAGTGAGGAGGTCAGAATGTCTGAGAGAATAAGTAAATATTGGCTGAGGAATTAAAATTCCTCATAAAGTTAAAGCCCTATGTCTTAGGTATGTTTCTCAATTCTTTTCTCTGGCATCCACTTCCTAAATAACATGCCTCTGGAAACTCTAGGAACTTTGATAAATGTTGATAGCTATAGAGGGGCGTCAGGCCTTTTGTTCACTATGAGTTGTGCTCAACTTGAAGGCAATCAACAACAACAACAACTTAGTTCACTGCTTTCTGGGAGTTTCTTCTTAGTTTATGTGAAATCTAAACTAAACAGGGACAGTATTGAGTTTATTGGTTAACACATGGAGGCCAGGTTGTTAAAGCAACACATTTAGAAATTCCAGATTAATCAAGAGGCACAGGAAAAAACTGTTAACAGTAAAGTGAATAACACTGATGGATAAAAGGTGTAGTTGTGTTGAACTACATAATAAATGTGCATTTTAATCCTGTTAAGAAGGTGTTCTGGTGGCGCAGTGCTTTGTGTATTGCACTGCCAACAGAATGGTCAGAGTTCAGATCCACTGGCTTCTCCAAGGAAGAAAGATGGGCCATCTCCTCTCAAAAAAGATTTACTACCTTAAAAACTTGATGGAGGCAGTCTCCTGGTACGTGCTGGCCTCGTGTGCTCTTCAAACATGAAAGAAGAGCATCCTCTGAAGCACATAAACTGTCTTAGACCTAGGCTACAGGTCACCATTAGTCAGAATCAATGCAAAAGCAGGGCATTCGAGTTGGGTTTCCTGTGTGTGTACGTGTGTGCCATAGAACCATCACGAGCACTTGGGACACGTGGACATCATTCACCTTTTCCTTCCCCCCCTCAATAAAAATATAAGATTTTTGTTTTATTTCATTTGGTACTTCAAATGACCTTATAAAACATACTATACATTAGATAAACTTTATATGTTATACTTCTCTTCTGATGTACCTTTATTTGGAATTTTTTTTTAAAAAATAGCAGTTTATTAAAATGCATGCCTCCAAAAGATTCCATTAATAATTTCAAACTGATTTAGAAAACATAGCTGTGTTATCATCCACCTTGATTCTGAGGTACAGAGTGGATCATTCCTGATGATATTGATGTTAGATGCCGTCAAGTCAGCCATGATTCACAGTGGCCACATGAACAACAGACCAAAACTGAGTCCTAATCTGTAGCATTTATTTTCATAATCTGCCACACTCAAGCCCACTGCTGGTGTCACTGCCTTAACCCATGTCATCATAGATGTTCCTCTCTTTTCTAACTTTCCGCTTTTCCAAGCACATTGCCTTTATTTGAGATACTAGCCATTCTTATTCCATTTCTTTTTTCTTTTAAGATTTTATTTTAATAATTTTAATGAACATTTACAGATATTTTGGATTTCCATTCATTCATTGTTGCACTTTTCTCCCTGCCCAAACCCTCCCCCCTCAGTTCACTTCTCTCTTTGAAAAATACTGTAAGCATCAAGGACTAACAAGCACAGAAGAATAACTAACAATAAGCTAGAGATTTCTACTTCTGTCAGGTGTCTTTATATCCACACTCACAGCAACTCTATACACAAGAGATCGAGATCAGCAGCCTGCAAGAGCCCAGGCCAGGGCCAGAGATTCAAGAGGGCTATTCTAACTTATTCTGACTTTCTACGAGTTGTAGGCTGGCTAAAGGTATCGTGAAACGTGCCCTCGAGCCTGTGACAGATGAGAAGATGAGCCCCCTTAGTCCTGATTCCTTCTCTCTCTCTCTCTCACCTGTCTGGAGTGCGCCTCTTCCCGTTTTCGTTCACATCGAGAAGCAGCTCTGAGGAGTCAACAGGTGAGGTGGTGCTGGCATCCAGAAGCAGCTGTTCATGCTGGGCGAGGTACTGGGCAGGGTTCTGTTTGGCCAGTCTTGCGCAGTGGAGGAGCTCACGCTGCAGTAGGGGCAGGTTGGCCTGCAAGAGGAGGATACAGGTAAGAGGAGAGACCTGCAGTTTCCTGGCAACGGGCTGGTCTAGTCTGCTTTTCAAACACAGGGTGAGAGCATCCACTGAAGCCACATAAACTGTCTTAGACCTAGGCTACAGGCTTCCCCAAGCAAGCTTCTCCCTGGACCTGCACCATGTGAAATGCAAGGTGTCTGACTTCTGTGAGGGACTTCACCTCCTCATCAAAAACAAGAGGGAGTTACACTTGGTTATTTTGAAGCTTCTTTCTAAGTCAAATATAAGTGATTGGAAGCTCTACAGGAATGTGAGATTCCAATTCCATCCATAAAAACTTGAGGGAGGAGAGGGTGTAAAAGAAGTAAGTGCAAGGTCCTAATTAATCTCAAAGCCGGCACATAGAAACCTGACCTAGTGATTCACACAAGGAGAACCAGACTAATCCTCTGAAATACCTTTGGTCAACTTCTAGCTCCAAATGACAACAAAGCAGCATACAAAGAGGATAATATGAGGATTCTTCTTCACAATGCACAGATTTCCAGAATGCTTGTGTATAGTCGGGTCTCTCAGAACTCACACATCAACAAGCATATGCTAGTCATTTAAAATGGCTCATTTTTTTTATACATGTCTTATTCTAAAGAACATAGGTATTTTTTGACATGTGGAGAAGTCCTACACTCCCCTGATCTAATCCAGAATTTTATATGAAGACTCTCCCAGTATTCTTTTGATAGATAATCCTGGGAGTTTCAAACATAGTAAGACTAATAATGAAAAATTCTTGAACAGGATTTAACTCTATAGAGTAACTTTATCAGTTTAAATACAGGTTGTTGCTTTTTCTCTTCTCTCCCTCTCTGTACCTCTCCCCCTCTTTCTAATTCTCTGTATTTTCATGAAGAGAAGAGAATTTGAGTGAGAGAATAAACAATACTCACTCCACTAACACTTAACTGGGGAAATTCAAGTAAAGATCAATAACAATTCTCTTTGCAACTCAAAAGATTTTATTTGTAGGAACCAGGTGTCATGCACACTGTTTATATATCAGATAAAAAGCTTTTCTGAATATAAGAGATACTTCCAGCTACCAAGGTATCAAGATCGTGGGCCAAGGAGTCTTTAAAAAGCCTTTTAGAGTACCAGGGACAGACACCTCTAAACCCACTTTTTTAAAGAGTATTAATCAAAGACCATCTTATCAAAATAAAGTCAGCTTAGATTCTAGTAAAGATACAAAAGATGAGGGTTGGGTGAGCTCTGGTGGCCTAGTGGCAGGAAACTGCACTGTAATCCCAGAGGTGCGTGGTTCAAATCCACCAGATGCTCAGCTGAAGGAGGAAGAACAATCGCCTCCTGTACCAGTCAGATCCAATTTGACGGTACACACATAAAAAAAAAAAAAAAAGATGAGGGTTGAAAAAGAAAAGCACAGACCCCACACTGTAAAAGTAGAGATAACTTCCTATATGCCAGTGAGGCTCAAAAGAAATGCTTTTTAGTTAGACAATGATTAATTAAGTAGCATGATTTTAAATACTTTTTTTAAAAAAACCAAATATTTAATCTTAAAGATAAAAAGGGATAGAAAAGAAGCAGACTAACAAAAGAATAAACAAAACATTATATTCATGACTCCATTAGCAGAACGTGCTATTTAGTAATAGGAAGGACAGATATTTAAAATGATGAGAAAGACAGGGCCGGGAGGGAGGCAGATCATCAGTTCCTTACTTCACTGGCAATGTCCTGCATGTTATTTTCAGAGAGTAACACACACACACACACACACACACACACACACATACACACACCGCTGTTACCATACACACTGAATGAATAAAACTGTGCATGCTGTACAAAATGAATTCAATTGGGACTACAGGTAAAGGCTCTATTTGAACATATAGAGACCTTTCAAAAGTAATCATATTCCTTCTGTCAAGAATGCTAGCAATATTTAACCAAGCAGGCAAACACAGTTATGCCAGCTCAGAGAGACAAATTCCTGAATGATAATCAGGAGAATTGACTCACAGGCTGGACATCTTGTGTGCAGATGTCTTTTGGCAAAGCATTCCCTGGCTCCCATCCAAAACCAGTCTTAATGTATTCAGTATGAGGGGTGATTTTCAGATACATAAAATAGTACTTCTGCAGAGAAGTTACAAAATATGCATTTATTGGAATATGCATTATAGATACAATTTCTTCCTTTCAGGGTCATTCAAATTCTATTTTTCACAAGCCAGGCTTTTAAATGTTAACTTGTGTTAAGGTGTAAATAAACTTTAAATTAACATCTGAAAATTAAGAACCTTACAAGAAAAGAGGCTCTATGCAGGAGTGTTTTTGTTGAAGAAGTTTCTCTTAGTTTTTTTCTTCTTCTCCACATCATCTTATCTGTATTTTGGTAGATTCCTAACCTCATGTTTAATACAGTCTCTGCCACACAGCTGAGTGACTAATAGGAAACACATACGCCGCCTTCAGTTTCA